TCATAAATGTCATTTCCTCAGAGGCGCCTTTCCTGTCTTCCCAAATTAAAGCAGTCCCTGAGTCGGTCCCTATCCTATACCTTGTTATGTGTTCATCATAGCAGTGATCATTGCCTGTTATTTTCTAGCTCACTTACTTGATAATTTGCCTGTTAGCAGTCTCCTGCCATACAAATGCCGTAAGAGTAAAATTCTTGACTTTTTCTCTATCCTCAACACCTAGGATGTACCAGGACTAGAGTAAGTGCTCAATAACTCAATGAATGAATGAACTGATGGATGAATAATAAGCTTTACAGATGCTGGTTTAAACTAGATCCAGTAGAATTCTTTACAGCAAGGCTTTCAGAGCCTTTAATATGCTAATAGGAATTGTGAATCTCTCAGTGTGTATTATATATTCATGCTTCTGTGAACACTTTGGCAGGCATATTGATGCAGAAATTTGTCATTTTAAAGGAATCAAATTTGTTTTCACATATAACTAACATTTTGCTAAGTCGCTTCAGTCGTGTCAGAATCTCTGTGACTCTATGGACTGTAGCCCACCAGGCACCTCTGTCCATGGGATTCTCCAGGCAAGAATACTAGAATGGTGTCGTGCCATCCTCCAGGGCATTTTCTCAACTCAGGGGTTGAACCCATGTCTCTTACATCTCCTGCATTGGCAGGTGGGTTCTTTACCAATAGCACCACTTGGGAAGCCCCAACCAACATTTTAAAGAAAAATAAATCTTAAAATATGGCACATATTCTTTGAAATTCCTCTTTCTCTTTACTGCTCCATCCTTTGGACTTTGCTGTCTGCAGCTAATTGGGTCAATTGATTTGTACATGGGTATATGTGTGTAGGACTGCCTTAGGGTCTTCTGTCCACTCTTTTATTTATTTATTATATTAAATCCTCATTGTTACTAGAAGCAGGACACAAAAATAATGATAGTTGTAGTTTTGTGAAAGAGGATTTCAGGCATGAAAGCTTTTGATACCCCTCAAGTTATATTTCCAAAGTGCCCATTGTCTACCTGTAGACAAAAGTCTTGACTGTTGACCTGATTCTACTCAATAGAATCAGTTATTGATAGACCTTCTTTTCACAGTCTTTGATAACAATATTTTTGCAGTTGCTTTTACAAATTCTTTGTGTTGGCTGAATGCATTTGTGCTACAGAAAATTGTCTTATTTCTATTGAAAACTTTAGAATGGATGAAGATGTGTGTGTGTTTCTTTTCAGAGACTAAAGATCCTGGTATGTTTCTTTCCATAAAAATAAGGACTAGAGTTCTTGACTGCTACCACTGATGGGTTGGGACTTTTTTCCAGATGCTTTTTTTCTTTCTACATCACCCTCCTTCAGTGGGAGGACTAGGTGCCAGCTATTCTGGATTAAAAAAAAAATTAGACAGGCTCTGGACAGAAGTTTCTCCTATCACGGTTTAGTTTAGGCTTTGCTAGAGCGGATCTATTTGAATTTTGTCTTTTCATGTAGGGCACAGCTGCTCCTGGTCTCCCTACCATGGTGGAGTTTAAACTCCAAACTTCCACTGGCGCCCCGGCAAATACGGGGATCACCTCGTGCAGTACATTGGCCCTGCATCACCCCCTGTGCTGGCTCTCCTTTGAGTCAAGTACATAAGTTCCTGGCATATGAGAGGCAGTGAATCCCCTTTGAACCTCTAGTCCCCAGCTCCTGCCTATGGAAACGAGATGTTCTAATTAGGAGTTCAAAGCATTCTGTACTATAGACTGCTATGCAGCATAACCACCTTCAGAAACAAGGTGTGGTGCTTCCACTTCTGGTCAGCCAATGTCCTTGTGTTACTGCGGCCACATGGCTGTTCCCATCCATTGAGTGTACTGCTGCTAGCTGACCACCTCCTGAGTATACAGTTAATTCTTGAATAAGTTTTAAATCAATCATGAAAATAGTTGTTTAGTCATATAAGTTACTACCACAGGATCTATTTACAGCCCAGATCTTACAGACGGGTGCCTTGATAAATGTGTTTTTATTTGCTGTGAATAATTTCTGCAAAGCAATATTGAAAAAAATGTAATTCACATTTTCCATTAAGAGGAAGGCTGCAGTGGTGTGCAGAACTGTCAGATATCTGTGTCTCAAGTCATGATTGGGCTTCCCCGGGTGGCTCAGCAGTAAAGAATCTGCCTGCAATGCAGGAGGTACAGGAGACATGGGTTTGATACCTGCGTCAGGAAGATCCCCTTGAGGAGGGCCTGGCAACCCATTCCAGTATTCTTGCCTGGAGAATCCCATGGACACAAGAGCCTAGTGGGCTACAGTCCACGGGGTCGCGAAGAGTTGGACACCGCTGAAGCGACTGAGCACACACAAACGCACCAGTCATGATTATTCTGGGATTAATTTGGGAAGAATTCAGCTATTCTTGTAGGAAAACATGAACAGTTAGAAAACCTCTTTCCATAGCCTGAAAAACTCTTTCCATGCAAAAATGAGAGGTAAAGTTGAAACCAGAACCCAGTTCTCTAGCCAAGACTCCCTCTGTTGAATCCAGAGGCAATGGGAAGAGCTGATAATGGGTTTCCTCATCATCAGAGGGAGGCTTAACTGCCAGAGCCTGGAAAGAATCTGCTTCTCAGGTCCCCCACGGCTCCTCTCAGCCCTTCCTCCCCAAGTGTGTTCAGAGGTGCGGAAGCACGGAAGGAACGTCGCAGGAAGTAGCGGCATAGTCCCTGCTCTCAAGCTCATGGTGGGAATGAGGGCTGAGGTCACAGCAGAGCTGGGCTCACGAGCACTGGGTTCTGATGACCCATACGGGATGCTTTACGGCCCCCACCCCTGCCTTCCCGGCTGCCAGGTCCCTCCTCTGCCTGGGAGACCCTTTTCTGCCCGAGGCTTTCCTGTCACTGATGTTCTGTTTTCTGGAGTCTGTTGTTGTCAGAGTGCTCTCAATAAACCCAGTCCCAAACCTACATCATAGCCCCCATGACATGCTCTTTTCAAAGCCCCCCAAGTTCCGAGCCCCCAGAGCCCTCCTTCAGCCAATCCCTGCATCAGAGTTCCCAGGACTTGTTACCTGAGAGCTGACAGTTCAAAGCTTAGAGGAACTTGAAGCTCAGGTTTCTTATGAATACTATTCCAAATTATTCTGGATTCAGTAGGCTTTGGGGAATGGCTGAGAAATCCATTGAAAATTTTCTGGAGGAAGTTTGTATGATCCTCAAAATGCTGTGTTTAAATTTTGCCTTGTTTCAGAAAATTAAGAAACAAAAAAATGGGACTGTAACTCATCTACCTGATTCTAAAAGTAGAGATAGATAGCTCATGCTTATAAACATATATGCATGTAAAATCAGAGACTTTAAATAGGAGATGGAGAGAGACACGTGGTAACCTGAATGACTTACACCAGATGGAGTTGACATATACACACTGCTCTATTTAAAATAGAAAACCACCAAGGAGACACTGAATGGCACTCTGCTTAATATTCTGTAGTAACCTAAATGGGAAAAGAATCTGAAAAAGGATGCACATATATGTATAACTGATTCACTTTGCTGTACACTTGCAACTAACCCAACTTCGTTAATCAACCATACTCCAGTAAAAAACAAATGACAAATCACAACATCATCAACAACAAAATCCACATGGAATTAGTTGGGTGGTATTTAGAGTGAGGGGCCAGAAGGAGCAGGATTGCAACTTGCCAGCACAGAGTGTCCGTCCCACAAGGTAAACTGGAAGTAGACAGAGTTAGAAGCAGATGATTACCCATCGATTAGTTTTATTTGTTCATTTATTTTTATTTATTTGGCTGCATCAGGGTCTTTCATTGAGGCATACTGGCTTCTCTCTAGTTGTGGCACATGGGCTCAGTTGCCCCACGGTATGTGGGATCTTAGTTCCCTGACCAGGGATCGAACCCACATCTCCTGCCCTGGAAGGTGGATGTTTAACCACTGGACCACCAGGGAAGTCCCTAGTTCTATTGTATCTTTTGTTGCCCGTTCTGTTGCACGGGCTGCTGATCCCCCCACCGCCCTTCTCCTGACTCCTGCCATGGCTCTTCCCCTCCCAGAGCAGAAGTCAAAGCAGAGCTGAGAACCACAGCCTCCATCTGCCCCTGCCTTGATGGATGGGCAGATGTCTCACATTCCATCTTCCCAACATAACGAAACAACGTTGTATAGGTCGGGGTGTGCTGTGTCTGTGCTAAGTCGCTTCAGTCATGTCTGACTCTCTGCGACCCCAGGGACTATAGCCCGCCAGGCTCCTCTGTCCATGGGATTCTCCAGGCAAGAATACTGGAGTGGGTTGCCATTTCCTTTTCCAATAGATCGAGGTACCAGATCTTGAATCCTTCATGACCAGTGATGATTAGCTTCTGCTCTGACTGTTTGTAGGAGACAGTAGCTGCTTCCTCTGAACCTTTGTGATAGTGGCAGTAGTAGGTGCTGCTCTATTTATTCAATATTATCTTTTTAAAAACAGATAAGGTGGATGGGAAATGCTAACAGCCAATACAGCCACAACTCAGCCCCCTGCTGTTCTGCAAAGCGTATTTCCTCATCAGGCCCTGGCCCTGGCCCCCCAGGCAGAGGCAGCAGAACTGGGTGAGACCAGCCAGCCAGGCTGTTTGGTGCTGTGTACCGTCCGGAGACGCCACCAGGTGGGCAACCTGCCGGACAGTTCAGGTGAACCCCCAGCGTTGGTCTTTCTTCACTCGTTTTCAGAATTATCTGTAAGCTCAGCTGTAGCGTGGGAAGTGTTGAAGGCAGAAAACCAGCTCCTTTTGGGCTTGGACCTCTGCACCCACAACTCCTCTTCCTGTTTCTCTGTGAAGATTCTGCAGCTTCTCCTTGGGACCTGAGCCTTAGTGATAAATAAGGAACCGTTTATCAGATTGCCGTGTAGGGCGAGACCAAGTCTGAAAATAAGAGCTTTCTTGTGAAGCTGTGAACCACAATGGCTTTTGAATTCCAAAAATAATGTATCCTTTTTGCATAATTGCAGATTGCCGCATCCCGCAAATTGAAGATGCTGAGATTCATAACAAGACATACAGACACGGAGATAAGCTAATCATCACTTGTCATGAAGGATTCAAGATCCGGTACCCCGACCTATACAATGTGGTTTCATTATGTCGTGATGACGGAACGTGGGACAATCTGCCCATCTGTCAAGGTAGGGGCAGATGGAGGCTGTGGTTCTCAGCTCTGCTTTGAGACTCGCCTGCAGATCGAGTGCACGTTTCTCTAATAAGATGGCAGTTGTTGTTTAGTCACTCAGTCGTGTCTGAGTCTTTGCGACCCCATGGACTGTAGCCTCCAGGCCCCTCTGTCCATGGGATTTCCCAGGCAAGAATACTGGAGTGGGTTGCCATGCCCTCCTCCAGGGGATCTTTTCAACCCAAGGGTTGAACCCATGTCTCCTGCATTGGCAGGTGGCTTCTTGACCACTGAACCACCTGGGAAGCCTGCAAGTGACAAAGGGAAAGAGTCATGCACACACCATGGTTCAGCTGTTCTGCACTCTGATCACCAAAGCTCTGTTTTTTTAATCTTCACATCGATCCCTGTGATTCTCTCTAGCTCCCTATACCCAGGTTTAAAGTTTAAAATTTTAAATGGAAAATACTTTATTCTTTAGAATACTGGCTGTCTCCTTTATTCTAAGAAACCAAAAGTAGTTGCAGAATTAGGAGCTTTGTAACTGGTTGTGAACACAATGATGAACTATTGTATATTTAATGGAAATAAAAGAGCATTTATACTGATTTCGGTTGTGGTACGAATATATTTAAAGCCAATCTTACAGAGGCCATTTTCTCTTAATAATGTTATCCTTTTTTATAATGCATGAGGAGCAGAAAAATAATCAAATTCAAATTTCATCCAAACCAGACAGTGAATATTTATCCTCTTGCATTTTTTAAATTTTCCTGGGCTGACACAGAGGGCCCTGTTTGTGAAAATAAGCCCTCCAGTTCATATTAATTCTGATTTTTATTTTTTGACATGTGACTTGGACCAAAGGACCAAGAAGCCCATGCATAATTCATCATCCAAGGGAGAGGGCGAGCAGCCTTATTTGCACCAAAAGCACTGGCATGTTAAAGTTGAGGCGGATGTCAACTTTCTGCTAGGAAATCACCCCTGGCAGACTCTGATATTGCTTTGCACGCCCCATAGTTGGAAATAAATCATTTCCTCATGTGAGAGCTTAAGAGCCACGGCCCCTTAAAGAAACAAAGGCTTCAGGATTAGGAGGACCAAGACAGTCCAGGTCCTCACCTTCCTGCATGTCCCCCCGAAACTTCCTGTGTTGTTGAGCTGTTCTGCGTTACTGTCAGAGACACTCCTTAGAATTAGCAGCCGTCTTTTAGGTGGGGCTGTTTATCCAAATGAACTTTATTAACCACTGCTTTATTCCGGTCCTGCGGCGATATCCAAACCAAGATAATTATTTCAGACTCCAAACCCTTCTTGCTTTCATATTTTCCACTTTTCTTTTGGTTCTCCCACGCTTTGCATTTCCTTTTATGTCACGTAAATACAGGATGCTTCTGTAGGAGTTCTTTTTGCCCCGATGATTTTGTTTTTTAAATGCCCTATGGTGATAGATATCTTGGAGTGTCATCATCAGGAGTTCAAGTGCAGGCTTTTTCTTGCTCTGTCTGGGACCCCTCACCCTCCACCACCCCTTACTACATCCCAGTCCTTAACAGAGCTTTGATGGGTTTTTTTTTTTTTTGCAACAACAAATGAGCTGGCTGCTAATCTTGAGAGGTGTACTTCTTCTGAGAGCAGTACAGCCTGTGGCCACCTTCATCCCCCCTCAGAGGCCTTGGTCCCCACAGAAGAGGTGCCCCTGGTCTGGACCCTGATCCCCCTTCCAGCCCCTGCACCTTGCCTCCCATCCTCACAGACACAGCAGGGTTGCTGTAGAGAGTCTGATGCCTCTGAGTCCCTGGGGGGAATATAATTGGCCCTTCGAGTGACATTTCATCCTGTAATTTTTATTTGCACCTATAGATCCAGGGGTTAAAGCCTGAGGAGGCCTCTCTCTATTATCTCAAAGTGCAAATAGAAATCACATTCACTTATTGAGTCGAAGCCAGTTTTCTGCTGTATTTTTAGGACAGGCTGTCAGAAACCAAGAGTGGCATAGCTTTCCTTTTCTGATTAGCTGCACATGTTACAACACCCCTTCCATCTCCTTTTGGGGTTGGATGGAGGACTGTCCCAAGGCCATTTCCTGCCACCCCCAACCCAGGAACTTTGTGTTTTAGATGATGCTTCCTTCTCCCTGTAGGTCAGAGTCAGTCTTTTTACTTAGGGGATGCAGTTATCCACGTGGGTAGCTTAGAACTGCACTCCTCCCCAGGAGGGGGAATGGGCACCCTGTGCTCACTCATTTGAACCCTGCTCAGGAGCTAACACCTTCCCTGTTTGTGTTGATTTGCTGATCTTTTTTTTTCCCCTCAGTTATTGATCCTGTTTATTCATGATTGCCAACTTCCCTCCCCTCATTTCTCTTTTGCCATGAACACTGTCAGTTTTCAGCTCAAAAAAGAGTATTCAGAACTTCAGTGCTTAAGACTCTGCACTTCCAATATAGGGGGTGCAGTTTCGATCCCTGGTTGGGGAACAAAGATCTCACATGCTATGTGGTCAGCCAAAAGCTAATTTTTTTAAAAATTAAAAAAAAAATCATTTAAGGCTGCTAGGACTGCCAGAAAGAATGGCCTAACACCACGTGTTTCTGATCTGGTCCATCCTGAGTGTGGCAGGTTCCGGGCAGGGATCTTTGGGGTCTGTGGGGTCTTTGGGGCTCTGGGACACCAGGCTGCAGTGGGCAAGTTGACACTGGCACAGCCTCAGAGTGAATACCTCCTGCATTCTGTACCCCCTCGTTCACGCTGGTCCTGCCCTGATATGGATGCCACATTCTGGGGCACTGACCCGAGAAGTTCACTCAACACAGAGCTGTCTGTCGCGTGTAATATGCCACAAAGTCAGCTTAGGAGAGGAATTCCATCATTCACTGCTGTGCGTGCGCAATATAATTTGTACTTGGTGATTGGAAGGGAGAGTAGGTATTCCCATTATCTGTTATTTACTTCACACACAATTAGTTCTCTCTGGGAAAAGCACCAGCTCTGCAGAGTCATTATTCCCTCCAGTGAAACTGCTGAAGCCAATAAGAAACTCCATGATCACAGCGGATGCCACACCAAGAGGGGTGCTGTACCACAGAGAATGTTCCACTGGGCTGCACAGGCTTCAGGGCAAAAAGGCAGCTACTGAGTTACAGAAGGAGGCATCCAGGTCTCCTGCGCCCTCAGACGGCACACAGAATTCTGTGCACAGACTTGCCGTAACAGGTCTGTACAAAGCCCGGTGCCCCCAGCAGCAGCCACAGCGGCAGCACCTGAATGCCCATCCTTGAGCTCGGACCCAGCGGACCAGCAGCTCTGGGGGTGGGGCCCAGCGGTCTGTCCCATACCGGCCCTCTCTCTGGGTAACTCTCAAGTTTGAGAACCACTGCCCTACATGCTGCTTCCCTAGTTCACCTAAAACACAGCTGGATTTCTCAGAATTTTCATTGCATGGTGTCAGGTAGGTGCCTATTCAATCAGCTATTGCCATGGAATCCAGTTTGCATCCCAACATCGGTGGCTCAGATGGTAAAGAATCTGCCTGCAATGCAGGAGACCCAGATTTGATGCCTAGGTCAGGAAGATCCCCTGGAAAAGGGAATGGCAACCCACTCCAGTGTTCCAGCCTGGAGCATTCCATGGACAGAGGAGCTTGGCGGGCTCAGTCCATGGGGCCACAGAGAGTCAGACACGACTGGGAGACTGCCACCCACACATTCTCAAGCCACCACCCTCTAAAGCGGTTGGAATGTGTGTTGTTTCTGTGGCACGTTAGTTGTTCTCAGCCCTGATGGCACTGGAAGGTTACTTGGGGAGCTTTAAAAAAAGGTAGGGGTGCCCAGGCCGTGCATCAGCCTCGGACACAGAGCCAGCTATTGGTGTTTTTAAAAATTTCCTCAGGTGATTCTAATGAGCAGCCAGGGCTGGGACCACCAGCCAGGGGGTCCTGAGCCTCAGCCACACCTCCCTTTACTTCTTCCCTACTTGTCTGACCCTCTTGGAGCCACTTGCAACTATAAAAGCAAGTGCCTGGTTTAGAAAGAGAGTAAATACAGAGATAAGGAGGTCTGAGCATAGAAGACCAAGGTGCGCAGTCCTCGGAGGCCGTGCCACATGTACGGCGGGGGAATCCCAAGACGTATAATGCTTTGGCTTTCAGATGTACAAAGGTAACCTCATAAAGATACTTCCCCTTGTCTTTCCCATGTCACAGGCTGTCTGAGACCACTTGCCTCTTCTAATGGCTATGTGAACATCTCCGAGTTCCAGACCACCTTCCCAGTGGGAACTGTCATCTCCTATCACTGCTTCCCTGGATTCAAACTCGAGGGCGCAGAGTATCTTGAATGCTTGCACAACCTTATCTGGTCGTCCAGCCCACCCCGGTGCCTTGCTCTGGAAGGTAACACATCTTATCCTTGTGGAAGTTGAATTTTGGCTTATTCGAGTGGAGGTTTCCATAGGAGGTGAAGAGCTGAGAAATTACGATCAGCAATAACTTTTGTTCCCTGAGTACGCATTGCATGCCTCTGTCCTGAGCAGAGGCAGCAAGCCTGGTCATCTGCCATGAAGCAGTACTTAAAACAGCCAGACATAAAACTGGCTTCCCCCCTGACCTTAGGCTTAAAGGGGATGAAAGAGAAAGTTTCAAGCGTCAAAGGTTAAACTGCAAAATATTGCAAAGTTAAATGAAATGTCTTCAAAAATTAATTTTCTCTGCACCAAACGAAAACAGATTGTATTATGGCATTGTTAATCTCACCCCTCATTTTATTGTTGTGTCAATGTTCCTTCCTATTTCCATGCATTTTATGGCTTGGCTGTAAATGTTTTGCTACAAGCACACGCACTCGGAAGCCTGAAACCAAGAGATCTTTCCTTCTCGTTTTGGTTAAATATATGTGTTTATTTTTGAGTGTGGTTCACTTAAAGACCACTAATCAGTAGAATGACGTAGCGGCAGTGGGTGGGTGGGTGGGAGGTAGTCAGAGCGTCCATTGCCAGAATCAAGCCAGTGTCTGTGATTGCAGAGTTTTGAAAACTTCCTAGGCAAGTTGGGCCTGCTGGCTTAGCTTTCAGTCTAATTCAGGTCTTGAAATTATGACTGAAGGAAACACATACCGATTTACTTCTTGGCATCTGAATACAGTGGGCAGGAGGGGCAGGAAAAAATAGAGAAATATGGGGAAAGGAAAAAATGAAAGGAAACCTCTAATCAGGAACTCCTCCAAAACCCATCTGTAGTTTTTCTTGGGAAACAAATCAAAACAGAATAGAATGTAGAAACGAGCAAGTTCTTACAAGCACCGTCTCTATGCATGCACCTCAGTGTAGTAGGATGAGGTTAAGATGGGAGGTGTGTTGGGGGTGGAGGGCAGTGATCAGCAGTATCTCCTAAGGAAGACCATGAATTAGGGTGTGTTGGGTGGAGCCATGGAGCCTCCTTGAAGGGAAAGGGAGAAGAGATGAAAGGGAGGGGAGCCTGGTGCTTGGAGAAATGAGGTTGCCAGCCTGGGCCGTCAGTGGTGCTGTTCTCCTGAGCTGGTAAGTGGAACCCCCACTCACCCCTACTTCCCACCCATCCTAAATCTCCTAGGGGATCAGAGCCCACTGATAGAGATGTCAGATAAAGTACCAAAAGCCAGTTAAATCTGAATTTCAGATAAACAGCAAATAATTGTTTAATATGAACATGTCCTAAATATTGTGTGGCCCTTACTTATGTACAACAGCTACTCTTTGTAATTTTTGTTTATCTGAACTTCAGCGATAACTCAGTGTCCTGTATTTTCATTTGTGAAATCTGGCAACCCTAGTCTAGAGGAAGAAGGTCATCCCCTCTGTTACCACTGGGAACCGTCACTGGCAGGTGAGGTGAGCACCAGCTGATGATGAAAGCGGGCTTTTCTGGTTCCTGGAGGTTTCTTCCTGCTCCGATAACCAGAACTAGAGGACTAGTTATTAAAGATATCATGTTACCATTATATCTATTTAAAATGCCTGTCTTCAAATCTTTTCAAATTTGGTTTAAATGTCTTTCAAAACATCATATTCTAAGCTTCATTTGGGGACTTTGAAAGCAGTTTTTCTGGAGCTTGGGGAATATGATGTGACTAGGCATAAAACACAATCTCACTTTAAGGGGCAAAGATAAGGTTATGAACAGGAGGCTGTGACTGACTTCTGATTGGAAATGAGTCTCATGCTTAAAACCGATTTCCTTTTCCTCTGCCAGCCTGTACTGTGATCGAGGGGGACCCTTTGAAAGTCCAGGTGACAGCTGCCTGTGACAAGAAGGCCACCTAATACCGTTTTTCCCTCCATAAAAGAGAAGTCTTTACATCTCTGTTTTCAATAAATACATGTTTCTTTCAATTATCTGATGCAATTAGTTTGTGAGACCTTTAGATGGTATCTTGGCTAAAGGCACCAAAGGCATGATTCTGAGAGATGCAGAGTGGCCTAAAGGACTTTTTGTCTCAAGACTTGATAGAAATGGGGTTAAGCAGTGTGTTAAAATAAAAGGTAAGGATTCGTGAAAAATGAATCCAGATACACCTGGATATTAGAGTTTCTTTAACTCTTACTTGAATTGTGTATCATCTTATTCAAGAGCTGTTTATGCAAATTGTCAAAGGGTGTTCAACATAGATGCACTGTCCCAAGGGAATCTACCCACCTCATTAATACATCACCCCCTTCTTTTTTTTTTTTTTTTTTTTTGTCTTCTGGAGCACACAATTTGATTTTTCTTGATGGCAGAATGAAAATGATTGCACTGTGCTGTGAGATCATGACGCCCTTGGGGACTTTGAAATATTAGGCTGGCTGACCCCTGAAGTGACCACATCTGCACAGCTGGTCTGGGGAAGCCTTTCTCTGTAACTTTTTTATCCCCTTCCCTATCCTGTCTCCCTGCTAATCCATCAATCCATCACGTGTCAGTGTGCCTGTCACTGCAGCTTCCTCCATCCCTGGAGCTCTTTTCCTAACCTGCCACCAGCCTGAAGATGGGCTCACCAGGATGGTCATAGGGTGCTGTGAGCTGTTGATTACAGTGTGAATTACCATCCGACTGGCTGAATTCACATCCTGCGTCTCCTACTTAAATAGTTTGACTCAGGGCAAGTCAAGTCACTTAGCTTCTATCAGTCTCTGTGTCCTTGTTTATAAAGTGGGGGAGATGATTATACTTGTAGGACTATGAAGACTATGAGGATCCAGTGTGATAACAAATGTAACAGTTTTAATGAAAGGCTCGATACATGGTAGGTGGTCAATCAAGTGTCCATCATTATTATTGCTCTTAGAATTGTGTACAGGGTCTGAAGTGTACAGAGTAAAGGAGGCTCTGGGCCTGGCTGTGAATGAAGTACCCAGGTCTTGATGCATTTACATTGTAACATTGTTTTGGTTGTTCAGATTCAGTTTTGGTTACTTGCATACTCTTTTTTCCCTCCACCTTCAAAGCCAGCAGCATAGTGTCTTTCAGCCTCCCTCCTCTCTGACCTCTGCTTCCGTTATTCTTTTCTTGAAGTTACTGGCATACTTTTAACTGTGTTTGTATTAACATGAATCCCAGATAATAGGAGGAAATATTAAGCAATAATAAGAATTGCTATGAATCTTGAGAGCTTACTGTGTGTCAGAATGTTTGACATAGTATCTCATTTAGTTCTCCTATTGCCTTTGTAAGACAAGTACTTTTTCTTAAAGTATTTATTTATTCAGCTGCTCCAGGGTCTTATTTGTGGCACAGGGGATCTTTGATTTTTGTTGCCATGTGAGGGATCTAGTTCCCTGACTGGGGATTGAAACCCTGGCTCCCTGCATTGGGAATTTAGAGTTCTCGCCACTGGGCCACCGGTGAAGTCCTGACAAACACTATTTTTAATCCCATTTTACTGATGAGCAAACCCAGGTTTCTAAAGATTCAGTAACTCACCCAAAGTCACACGGCTCCTAAGTGGGGGGAATGGGGACTCGAACGTGGTTCTTTGTCATTCCAAAGCTCATGCTCTTCATCAGCAAGGTACATTTTCTAATGCATTATCCAGTTTGCTTTGATTTCTTTACGATTCTTACAGCTATTTTTTTAAACCATCAAAAAATTCAGAAGAGTGATCATATAGCAAGGGGTTTGTCCTTCTAGTCCAGTTGGCCTCCCTGTAGAACTCCTAGCTGCAGGGGACCGTGAGTCCAAAGGAGACCCTGCTGCCTGCCAGGGTGGGGGGCAGAGAGCCCTCCCCACTGCCCCCCCAAATGCCCATTGGTCACCCCCTTACAGCAGAGCCTCACTTCAGCCCCCGGGCTGCTCAGGGATTGTGTCTCCTTTCGCAGACCTGGGGACTGACACCTTGAAGGGTGTCAGTGGCCTGACTTTTCCACACCTCCAGTTCTGGGCTGGGCTTTTTCTACCTCATGGTGCCTCCCCACTTAATGGCATGGAGGAGGCTTTGCTGGTTCCAGTGTCATGTGACAACTGTCACGCTCAATGTCAGCAGTCCCATCATTGAGGTCTGGCTTCATGAAGGACTTTATAATTTGAAAGGAAAAGCTCTGGCAGCTTCACCAAGGGTGGCAAGAATTCCAAGGCCCAGTAGGAAGTTGTGGGTGATGTGTTTCAAGGTCTGGGCTGTTGTACCCAGCTTATATGTGTTTTCCCACAGCCAGGTTCTGGGATGGGGGGTGGGGCGGGGGAACACCTGAAATCATAATATTTTGGACTAGAATGTTGGCTGCATCATTTTAAAATACATGAATATATAAATTTGAGCCTGGAAGGAGCCCCTTGGGTTTCTGTGTTCTGGTCTGTCTCATTGTAGATCTGAGTGCTTTTCCTTATCTCTGTATATCTTAATGGTTTCCATTCTTAGGCCATCTTCTGAGTTTTGATCCCAAAACTTTTAGACCCTCTGAGGGTCTCATCTTTCTCTCTTTCACACATACGTACATGCACACATACACACACTGAATCCAGGCAGTCTTTAAAAAAAAAAAACTATGACAGTAAGTGTGAGCAATCTCATTTGTAAGTACTAAGAACTCGGTTTACATTGTCAGCAGTGTTTATCGAACACCTGGTAGGAGCAGAGCAACACCAAATTGGGCTCTGGGGAATTATAAAGAAAGAAAGGAACAGCATTCCTTACTTTGAAGAGCTTTAGTTTAATGGGGAGACTAAGATGACAAATCCCATCCCCTGGAGACAAGCGTCATCACAGACGGCACCACCTATGCCTGCAGCTTTACCAAGGGGCAGATGCATGCTTCTGCTTTGGAAAGGGTGGAAGGGAGGTTCTGATAGGTGGTATTGCAATTGTAAAATGAAAATTTCTATCTAGCGTTTATGATTTTGGGGGTTCTTTTCCTTGGAGATCAAGGAAGCCCGCCCCCGGGCTT